TGTATATGTATGTATATATATATAGATATATATAGATGTGTGTGTGTGTGCATGCATGTATGTATGTATGTGTATATGTAAATATATGTATATGTACATGTATATGTATATGTATATGTATATGCACATATATATATACACACATGCATGTATATATATATATATATAGATAGGTATACAGTATACACACATAATTCTCCATACATGCATGCAAGCAAACATACATACAATCATGCGTGAAAGCATGTGGTCCCTCAGAGGTTATTTCAGAGTTGCGTAGGGAGGAAGCCCACCAAGAACCGGGTACGGCATTAACTGCGACCTTAACGCCGAATCCGCCTTCGCCCGTCAAGGTGATGATTAATGTGAGACTTATAAGGGTCCCAGGTGTCCCACAGAGTTCGTCCGTTCGATGCTTGCAGGTCGCACTTAGCCCGTCACACGAGTGGAAATCTCGGGGTGGAGACTTGAGGGCCAGGGCTTCAGATGTTGGTTCATTTGCGGCTAATATACTTGAGGGTGTTGGCACAGGTCGAACTTTGATTGCCTGTGACTCTTCTGCAATGATCAAGGCTGTGCGGATTTCCCCTCGCAGGAGCCTGAGACCTCGAGGGTCCCACTCCCGCGGAAGCGGCGAGCAATCAAGGCTGAGGCAGAAAGCCCAGCGACGCCTGCTGTGATGTCTGGGGCGTACGAAGAAGAAGAGGGAGACATTGCAGAGGTGCCTTGGAAAAAAGCTTGTAAGTAGGAAAGGTATCTTGCTGCTCTTGTGGGCTGAGTTTCACAAAAAAGGGCACTTTCAGGACATGGTCGTGGCAGAAGTGGTGTTGGTAGTATTGGCGTAGTGGTTGTCGTCGGAGTTGTAAAATTCGCAGTCGTGGTCGCGCTAGTCGTAATTCGTAGTAGCAGCTGCAGTTGCACGACTTGCAGCAGCAGTAGCAGCAGGCGGAGTAGTAGCAGATCGTAGGTAGTGACCAGGTAGTCAGTAGCTAGTAGTAGCAGTAGTAGTAGCAGCCGCAGCAGAAGTTGGAAGCAGGACTAGGGCCAGGAAGCGGAACTAGTGCGAAGCCAAGGCTGCTGCGATCGAAGATTGGAATCTTCCACCACATGTCTTCGAAGGTGGGTGTTCCTGTTGCCCTTTCGGGTTCTCCTGCTTGAGCCCCGAAGAGCACACCTCCGAATCTCGCCTTGTCATGCCCCACATGTGGTCTGCAGTTGTCAACATCAGAGGGTTGGCAGGGACATGCCTGGAGACATGCGGCAACCGGAGCCTCATGCCAGGTGAAGATGGCGAAGAGGCCCCTGCCCAGGACTGTGGAGTTGAAGTGCTGGTAGACATACGTAGTTTCATGCGCATGTGGCGGCCGACTGTGTCAATCTCAACCTGAAGCCTTCCATAAGCATGTACGAAAACCCGAAAAACCTCAAAGCCCTAACTATGTTTGAGGCTTTGCACGTCCAAACCCGCCCCAGGAAACGCGAGACCCAGACCCCGTCCAGGATGACGCGCTGCGGCGGCAATTTTGAAAGACTTAGTCCTTGCAATTGCCTTCAGGGCTTGCGGAGTCTCTGTCGGTTTCAGACTGTTTCGGGTGTAGGGCTCAACCCCTGCGCTTGCTACATGAGCTGCCCCGTTTGTTTGCTATCGTTTCTTTCGAAAGAGCCTTCGTCGCTCGCCTCAGTTGCAGGATGTCGTCTTGGAGATCCAGGAGCTGAAGCGGAAAAATGCCCCTGGGCTCAGCAAGGGTTTAAGGGAAGAGTGCCTTGGTTCTGAATGTGGGGCACCTGTCCAAGGTTCTCCGAGTACCGTGGCTGAGTGCAGGTTTGCAGGCCCGGAGAAGGCCCTGAAACGAGGCACTCGATTCCAAGTTCTACTCGGGTTTAGGGTTTAAGGCTTTAGGGTTTTAGGGTTTTAGGGTTTAGGGTTTCGGGTTCCGATTTGTTTAAGCAGTCCCGAAACCTCTCTGCCGGGCGAATCTGCAAAGCGCATCGTGAGCAAGCATTAAGCCGGCAATGGTACGAGATCACCAAAAGTGGACTATTCGGGGACGCGGTGGTGCTGTACATGCTGCTAGACATCGGCTGAATGCAGAGTTTCTGCTGAGCCGCTCTGCACCCTGGGCCTCGAATCCAACAAAGCCTGAAGCTGAAGCTCGAAACCTTGTAAAGCCTAAACTCCTAAACCGTCCTAAACAGTATCCTAAACCATTCAAAAAACCAAGAACCGTCACAGCCTAAACCCAGCCTTCGCCTGGAATTGAGCCAGCGGCATCGGAGCCTAGGTTGCTCTTCTTGGAGAGCTGGAGGAGAAGGAGAGGACCATAGAGGCCCGGATGTTCTATGACCGTGTAATCGCATGCACCATCTCAGCAACCCCAGACAAACCGACGGAAGCAGCATGAAGCAGCGGATAGTTCTTGACAGCAAGCCATTCCGGAACTGATGTTTGGTGGTTCTATGATTGACAGAGACTTGCTGCCTTTGGACATGTTCCTTTTATGCCGGCCTTTCTTGTTCTATATCATTCTTTATCTCTCTCTCTCTCTCTCTCTCCATCCCTCTACCTCCCCGTGTCTCTCTCTCCATGTTGTGTGCATGTGGAAGTTGCTGCTTACTTTGGGCAGGAGCTGCGAAAGCAGAAGGCAGAGCAGGAAGCCGCATACTCTGGCTTGAAGGCAGGGCGTCTGGGCACGGCGTTTTGTGCTCAGCTTTTTTAACAATCCTATACTGTTTCGGGCGGGCTTATCTACTTCATAACCTCTCCGTGCTACAAGGCTTCTCGCCAGGAAGCTAGGATTGTTGCTTTTTGTTGTTGTTCCCCAACTTCTGACACTCCAAACCCTGGGACGCTGAGCTTCCTATCACCCAGTGATCTAGTGGCTGACCGCGAGATGTGGTCCAGACCCCGAGAATCAGAAACCGGGTACATGGCAAAGGTTCTGTGTTTCGTCTTAAGAGAAGTGATTTTCTGGTTTGTGTTTCTGCAACCAGTACGCTTCGCTTCTAGTAAAATATACTCACCAACTCCCAGCCCTCTAAAGCCACTAACCCTGAGCAAACCCCAGCCCCAAACCCCTAGGCTCCAAACCCGTACACCCTAAGCCCATAAAACCCAAACCCTAAGCCCATAAACCCTCAACCCCTAAACCCTAAACCCATAAACCCCCAACCCCTAAACCCTCAACCCCTAAGCCCCAACAGGACGATCTGGAGGAGGCTGTGGAGGGCCAGAAGATTGCTCAGAACACCTACACACAGAAGGAGCCAGGCCCTGAGTAGTCGCTGAGAGTTTACGGCTACCGGGCAGCCATCATATGTATGTATATGTAAATATACATACATACACGTATATGTACATAAATCAATAAGTAAATAAATAAACATGTGTGTCTATATATATATACATACATACATACATACATACATACATACATACATACATACATACATACATACACACATACAAATATAGATCTAAGCATAAAATAAATGCGAACATACACGTAATTACAGATCAATCATACGTATAACGATATATATATAGATATACATATGTACATCTGTAGTACATACATATATATATAGATATATGTTGTAAGTGCAAACAGCAGTACTGATGTAAATATGATTACATATGCACATACAAATATACATGTAACCATATACACAAATAGAAATGCACACATCGATACAAGTATAGGTAGACACATAGGTATTAGTATAAGCGAAAGTATAGGTGCAAAAAGTCAAATTGAAGTATAGATATACTTGCAAGTTTAAGTGCAAATACAAGTACAACTACAAGTACTCAGGTGTAGATACAACTACACATACCAATACACACACACACATGCGTACAAACAAAGGTACAAGTAGAAAAATGCGAAACAGGAATATACATTTCAACACGCAAACGAATAGACAAAGACAAGACCAGATACACAGCTAAATGTGTGAAACAACTGCATACATAAATAAACAATTAAGTACAATGTGCATGCATATACATATGCATATAATAATTAGTTTATGTCAAAAAAATAGATAAATAGATACATATAAGTATATGTATATATATATACACACATAGGACAACTCGTGTTTGTCTGTCTCACGGGAGGCGGGCCTCTGGGTGTGGCTGAGGCAAGAGGCCGAAGCTACGAAGCGAGAGTTGGAAAGTGCGAAGCAAGAGGCCGAGAGCGCGAAGAAGGAGGCCGAAAACACAGCAAAGGAAGCAGAAGCGAAATGCCTCTTGGTGTTGCTTGCAGTTCATGTTTTTGTTGCTGGTTGGCCTACGTTCCCTACAAAAGTGCAGATCCGCCGGGAACTTCGAGCCTTAAACAGCCGAGGCAAAACAGTTGAAGAAGCTGCAAGAGATCAAGCAGAAGCAGCACAGAAGCGCATGGAGGCGTCAGCTTTAGGGCTTCGACCTACACTGTGGTGGGGAAACATACAGTGGGGTTCTTGTGATGCAGTTGGCTGTCCTTTGCTGTCAGTATAGTCCGTATGACGGTGCTGTCATTATTACTACTACCGTCGCTTCCAGTGCCGCTGGTGCTACTCTCCTCCTCTGTCTTCTCGACCTTGTCCTCCTCTTCCTCAGCCACAGTCGCAGTAACAGTAGCAGCAGGAGTGGAGTAGGAGTAAGAGTAGGAGCAGTGCTAGTGGCCAGTGCCGCTACTACGACAACTACGACAACGGCGGCTATTGCTCCTGCAGATGCTGCTGCGCTGCTGTCGCCAAGTCCCCCACTAACCGCTGCTGTTGTTGCCGCTTCTTGTGCTGACGTCCTACTGCAGCTGCAGCGAGGATGAGTGCTACGACTATTTTTGGCCCCAGACTCCTCTCCAGCCTTGCAGACTGTTTGCACTAGTGGAAGAACTGGCAACAGTACCCCTCTTGCTCTCTATCTCTCTATTTGTGCCTGCGTGTGTGCATGTCTATATTCGCTACCTACATGTTTCACATATGACGATATATGCGTACAAACACATACATACATGAGTGAATGTATGCACGTTTGTAATTACGTTTGTATGCATGCATGCATGCAGCAGTTGAAACGAAACCCGTGGTAGGAGTAGATAACAACTTTGCAGAGAGCACTCTTGACAGCACAGTCACCGGCATGTTCCGCCTCGAAGCATAAGCCCTGCACTCTTTGCCTTCGCATCTTCTCGCTCTCTTCCTGCACTCGGAGGAGCTTCAATCTTCCTTCCAGGCCAAGCAGGAGGCATTCGAGCTCGAGGCGTGGCTGTGCACAATAACACAGCCAGGAAGCCCTCCTGTAGGAACTTGTTTGGGCCTTTAGGGCTCGGGGTCTGGAGTATTTCATGTGGATCACAAACATGCTACTGATGCCAACAATGGTAATAGCACTAGTACAAATAATAACAACAATGATAACAAAGATCTTAACAATAGTAGTAGTAAGAGTAAGAATAGTGACAAAACAACAAAAATTGTCAGGTGGCCGACCTGAAAAAGAGTTTCGTGGAGCTACAAGATCGGCACAAGAATCAGGTCGCGACGAGCCTTGGCAAAGCATGGCAGGGGTGACAATTTCAAGTGAGGGTCTAGGGTTTAGGGCAAAGCATGCCAAGTTAGGGGCATACCGCAGAAGATGCTGGAAGCCAACAGCCAGGGAAGGGCCTGCTGTTCAAACTGAGGGGCAAGCGCAGTATGGGTGACCGGGTGACCCTTGTTGAATGTTTTTTGAAGAACTCAACTTTCCTCTGCGGTCGTCACCCAAAGACAGTCTGCTGAGGATCGCCAAAAAAAGCGATGAGCTCAAGGAAGCTCGGGCGAGTCTCCAGCACGCTGTTGCATCATTTGTATACTAGAATTGTACTACATGATAGCGCATTATCTTTATGTATACATATATATATATATGTACTCATTATATTCTATATGTTTTTATTGTATATACATACATGTATATTATATTAAGCATTATGCATATACACACTTTATATATTGTCTTGTACTTCAAATTTTATATAATATACTATGAATATTTTTCTATATTGCATAAATTCTATATGGTATTTTGTTTAGTATACCATATAGTATGATATATATTATATTATATTATANNTATTGTATTATATTGTATTGTATTGTATTGTATTGTATTATATTATATTATACTATACTATATTATATCATATTATGTTATATCATGTTATGCTATGTTATGCTATGTTATATTATATTATATTATATTATATTATATTATATTATATCATATTATAATATATATACATATTACGTCAGTACACACATATATATATATACACACAATAGAAAATGCATCAGATAATATGAGCTATATAGTATATATATATCTACATATATATATATAACCTCTATTGTATATTGCATGTATATACTTATCAAGTATATATGTATAATATGTATTCACGTCTCTTTAGCCTTCTGTTGGGGTCTGGTTGTGGTAGTCCTCAGCAGCGAAGGCATCAAGCCTAACTGTTTCAGCATGTGACCACATGGCGACCCAACCCAAACAAACTAAGCCAAACAGAAGTGGGAAAGGGTGAGTTCCATGGTTCCACAAACCTTGAGCCCGGCACAGTTGCTGTGACGCGACAGGCAGCCAACAGGCAGATCGCGGAGGAACGAAAGAGCCATGACGACGAGCTGACTTTGAGAGCCACAAGGTTGCTTGCGGAGGAGGCTAAATTTCTTGCCCAGCAGGCAGCTGGGATGGGAGCTTGCTCGGAAGACCGGCCGGCCCAGCCTTTTGTTCGTTTGTTGGTACTAGCTGTGTTTCTGAGACGTGGCTGAACAAAATCACACTTTGCCTGCAATGCAGAGGAGAAGATGAAGAGTGAGCATGCGAAGGAGAAGGCAGCGGGTTGGGAGTTTAAGTGTCGATTTGTAACACGCGATGTTACGTCCGGTCGTCGGGATTGACCCCTACCCCCAATCCCCGCAACCCCCAGACTCCAAAACCTTAACCCTCAACTCTAAACCCGCTGATTTACAGGAACAGATGGTGAATGACCATCAAGAGGAGGTCTCCAAAGTTTCCGCCGACCTCAGGGCTGCCCGCGAGGCTGGATGAAAACGGCTCCTTCTTGTGAGGGTTTGGGGTTACAGGTTTAGGGTTTAGGGTTTAGGTTCCAGAAGGTATAGGGTTTAAGGGTTTAGAGTTTAGGGCTTAAGGCCAGCCAAATTATGAGTACAACACAATTTGACTACACATTATGTTTAGTTCATGTTTCTCACGCTGAAAGTTGGTGGTGCTCGTCTTGCGAGATTGAGTTTGCTGGTTGTCTATGCATAAACCGACACATAAACAGTTTTCGCCGTGTAGGAAACGCCACACACCCGCACACCTCTATGCTTTATTTGATGGTTATGTGCTTATAGCGTAAATACATACGGAGAAACAGGGAGTGACGGAATGTGTGGGCAGCTAGTTAGTATGGCCTGTGTGGATATGCAAGCCAACATTCAGGTTGCTACATCTGTAAGACATACCACTGCAATATGTGTACATACAGACTGGCAGTTCACTAGGTTAACACGCTTTCCTGCGTTTCTGTATGCATGCATGTATACATGCAAGACCATGGGTCAAGCCCTGGTCCATATGGTGTGCTAGACTGCTAGACGCCGAATCGTTACTTCACGGCTTCTCGTGAACCAGGCGGTCCAAGACCTGGAAGCCAGCCGCAAGCAGGATCAGGAGAGCATCCGATAGCTCGGTGACTACTGTGCGTTATTGTTGCTCTGGTAGCTGGGAAAGTGCTCTTAGTGATACTGTTGGTGTTTTCGCTAATGTTGCGGCAAGACTGCAACATCCATCTTGCATTGTTGCTGCTGCTGTCAGATGTTGGTCCTTGTGTGCCTTTGCAGGAGACGCTGGAGCGGCTGAACGCCGCAAATGAGGACAGCGTGTCGAGCAGCGCTGGGAGTTTCAAAACGGACGTTCTTTCGAATCTCGCACTTCTATATGGGTAGTTCTCTGCATTAGGTTCCCTTACCAGGTCCCCGATATAGTAGGGCACCCGTATAATAAACAGGGACACTAATTTAACCTAAAGAGCTACCCATATGATCGTGCTCAAGCCGAAGGTGTGGAACCCCAAAGCTGTGCTTTTTTGGCACCGAAGTACTCTTTGAACTCATGATGAATCATTCCTCCAAGTCTCTTGCTCTTGGAGTGACTCCTACTGCTACTACGGCCATCATCTTGCTCATGGTGGATGGTCACGGGGCATATATGAACTTTGGCGGCTATTTTTCTCGTCGTGAGTCTTGTGATTCGAGCTTCGAACTACGATTCCTGGCCGGAGGACCTCAGAAAGAGATCTGTTTCCATTCCTGATGTGAGGGCAGCAATAATGGACAGGCCCCTCGGCAGATTGTTCAGCTGGGTTCTTTTCTCGGGATTTTAGGAGTCTTGGCTCAAAAAGAATGGGGGAAACCAGAAAGGCAGGACGGTGAGAGGTGAGTTCACGAAGTTGTTATTACTGAGAACCCAACTGCGGTAGCTAATTTAATTTGATTCACTACAGTCACCTATGCCGATCAGCTCTAACCTCCCCAACCTCTGCACGCTTGCAAAGAAGAGTTCTGCACAAAAACCCGGATTAACAGTTCTGATTACTCAGGGCCTAGACCCCAGGCCGAAGGCTCCGGGGCAGGATTCAAAGAGGCAGAACCAGAAGCGCCCCTTGCAGGACAGACCCTGAACTCCAAAGAGCCCATCCCCCCCTCCGAACCCTCCGAGACTTGAACGCTGAGGATTTATTCCCAGCTCGGCCATTCGTTGAACGAATGCTTGGAGCAATGGGAGGTCTTGGCCCCGTGAATGATGGCACATGGTTTCGTTTTTCAACTCAAGGTGCTCGGCTGTCCCAGCGCTGCGCCCTAAATTGAGTGGTACTCGTCGCTGCAGTTTCAGTAAGAGGACGCCACAGCACAATGGATGGATGCATGGTTGGATGGATGGAGGGATGGACGTACCGGGTTTCGGGGACCTTGTCTGTTTTGCGTCTTCCATCTTCTTGTTTGCCCTCTCCCATGCTTTGCTAGTTTTGCTAGGCCAGGGCCACGTCGCTCGCCGCCCCGGAGGAGACTGACGGATCGACACAGGCCGAGTCCGTATAACTTTCAGTGCGTTTGTTTCCTTCGGATGTGGGACAAGGCCTGCGAATTGCGCCACGACGGCGGGTGACCATTGGATCCCCATCTCCCATCACGAAATTTCCGAACAACCGAAGTGACATGGCAACACATGTTTGCGTCCCAAAAACCAAGGGACCCGGAACTAGGCCTTACCTAAATTGCTACCACCCTTAATGTAAGGCGATTGAGACAAGGATCCCTGACTACGTGGGACCACGAAGGGGTGACTGCATGTGCTCGCAAGCTCCTGATGGGGGGTCGATGTTTGTTCCCCAAAATCCTTCGACACCTTAGCAGAGCCCTTCAATCCTATCAATCAATCAATCAATCTATCTATCTATCTATCTATCCATCTATCTACTGTATCTGTCTGTCTATCTATCCATCTCTCCATCTGTCCATCTGTCCATCCATCCATCTCTCCATTTATCCATCTATCCATCTCTCTATCTGTCTATCTGTCTGTATCTGCGCGCAGAAACACACACATCAACACACATACACCCCAGAAGCTCCGGTTGTGTTGTCCCCGTCTAGGTGAAGAAGTCCTGTTCAATTCCACTGATGTCCTAGCCCATCTTAGCCTTCTTAGCCAAGAGTCTTGCTAAAACCCTGGCAAGGCGCAGCTTAGAACCCTAAACCCGAAACCGTGCCACTGAACCTTGACTTGTAGGAATGTCTTGAAACCATGCTAGCACTGCTAACTCTGAGGCCTAAACCCTCCCCGTCCCAACCCTATTCCCAAGCCTTGATACCACCTTGGTACTAAAACTGTTTATAAACTCCACTCCATCAGACTCAAGCTCTATTGGCTTTCAACCCGATCAATGCCAGCCCGTGCCGGCCGCTGCAGATGCGCAGTTCCAGGCGACGTTGCTTTCCGGAGTTCAAGATTCGGCTTTAGGGTTTAGGGAAGTTTAGGGTTTCGAGATTTTGTTCACTACACTATGAATTGTAGAAGTTCACTATGAATTTCCATAGGGCTTAGAGATGACAGGGTTCAGGGTTCAGGATTGACAGGGGTTTAGGGGCTCAGGGTTCAGGGTGGATTTGGGTTTAGGTTTGCGTTTGCTGAGCATGACCATTCGATCCTTCTGCGGGGTACCCAAAGCGTAGCCTCCACTTTCAGTGCCAGAGGTCTAGCATCATGTCACTGGGGGTTTCGGGTCGCCGGCATGACTTCGTTCGCCTGCATACCCTGCAGGCCCTTGAACCCAAACCCTAAGCCTAAACCCTAAACCCATAAGATGTGCAGGAGAGTTTGGCCAATGGCCGTGAAGAGGACCTCAGTGCCGCCCACGAGGATAGTTTTTGCGATGTTCATGAGGGTTTGTATTTTCGGCGTGCAGAGTTATGAAAACAGAGCAGGTCTGAATACTACACAATCGCGACTTGATATTAACTTTTCTGTTTCTAGAAGCACTGTGCATGCTTCTCACAGTACTTGCATCAACACTGTGCTTGTGATTGAATTCCAGGCATTGGGCTGTATTTAAGCAGGGCACAGATCCCGCACAGACTTGTATGTATGTATGTATGCATGCATGCATGCATGCATGCATGCATGCATGCATTATGATTGGGCCCGTGTTCATGCTTGCCAGTACATAAACCGATAAGCGTACACACACGTGTACATACCTATACATGTACATGTATGCAAAAACTACCTACCTACCTGCCTGCCTGCCTGCATGCCTGCCTATCTACCTACCGACCTACCTACCTACCTTCCTACCCACCCACCCACCCACCTACCTACCTACCCACCCACCCGCCCACCTACCTACCTGCTTACCTACCTACCTATCCAATCTCTATCTCGCCGGCTACCTAGCTATTTGTCGGTCTTGCTATCTATCTACTTATGTTCTGTTTGTGAAGTTCGACCACCCTCCGGCTTGCTCCAGGCATAAGCGGCCTTTTCACACCTTCGAACTCTTGTGCGGCCATGGGCACTCAACGAAGGGCACCAAAGCCGAAGCGAACCCGAGATCCTAGAAGCATCCAAAGCCTGGCAATCTGAACAGGCTTGAAGCCCAAACCTTGACCAGCCTTACACCCCAACCTGGTCTGGGGGCCTTAGGACTTAGGATAGGCTTTGGGAGGAATAGTATAGTCTACAGTGATATGTGGACCAAAAGGCTTCAGTTGTTCAGTCCCCTAAACCCTAAACCCCTATAGTAGCTCCACCTCAAAGGATGAAGCTCCGTGGAAGAAGAGGCCCCGGGAGCTGTTTTGGTGCGGGGTTTTACCTTCTGCAGCAGAAGCTCCCGACTTCTGAATTTTAGGGTTAGGGTTTTCAAAGACCAGAGAGGAGGCGTCGCTCTTGTAATTGGGGTCTTAGGGTCGACAAAGGTCACAATCGAGAGTCGATTAAGAGCATTACAGCAAGAGCCCTTAAATCAAGAACCCTTGTGGATCCCCGTTATGGAGTATAGAACCGGTAGAGATCCCCTGTCTTGTTGCAAAGGGCCCCCTTTCAGAAAGCCCGTCGGGTCGGCTTTCTGCTTGTTGCTCCGAGGCTTGGGAGGGCCATGCGCCGTTTCTCATCAAACTCGGGCTGCAAATACGTCAGGCTGCTTGTACATGAGCGTGAACATGTATATGTGTAAAAAAATATATACACACATGTATAAAGTATAAGTATATGTATATGTGTATATGCATATATGTGAGTAAATACAGATCATTGAATAAGGAGGCTTTGGGTGCTTCTGCCATGCAACGCTGCCAGGCGGACGAGGCAGCCGCCCGGAGCTACCATCCTCCCGACGGAGGTGGCTTGGCATTTTACTTGATTGTATGTGTATAGCATAGCACAGCATAGCAGAGCACAGCATAGCATAGTATAGTATAGTACAGTGTAGTATAGTAAATTGTCGTATAGTTTAGTACATCGCCGGAACACGGTCCTTGTCCCCCTCT